TAATAGCCGTGTCTTGAATGCCTGTTGTCGATAGTAGAAACTTGTCTTCTACAGTGATCTTCTCGTAATTAATAAGACCGCGCTTGTCAGCAGTCGCCTTCTGTTCATCGACAGCGTTTCATTACCGTCACGCACAAAACGCGTGACAAACTGATGTTGTTGTACAAACGCTTTGATGGTTGCTGAGACATAAAGACACTGGCTCAGTGGCGACGCTTCTGAGAATGGGTCAAGCGTAGGTGACGCTCGTCGAGAGCGTCTGAAATGGTCGGAATGGCACTTGGATTAATTAAAGACTCGGAGACCCACCGAGTCGTGTCGCCTACATCCTGTGGTTGATGATTACCTTGAATGAGCGAGTTTGAGCAGTGTTCACTGCTGTCTCGAATATGTTGATTTCATTCCAGCTGTGACTGACATAGTCGAAGGGTCGCCATGGTCGCATGGCGACGCGGTTGATACCACTTCTTCAGTAGATGTCATTTCGTCTAGAGTGTCGCCACGGTCACAAGGTGACGACTTCGTCGTTATTGCACCTCTAGTCGAGGCCAGCTCGACTGGGGTCCCTCCTCCACCAAGATTAAAGATATTAGGCAGACCCAGAAGAAGGGGGGTGTCAGTCCGATCTGCGCATGAACCGCATTATTAATATCAAGCTTGGCCATGAAGGACAACACAATTTAGGACGCGAACGACACGGCGTAACTGCGTAGGACGTCCTCCAGCACGCGATTTGTGCGCCCAGTCTGCCCATCTATATCGGGATGGGCAGCTGTAGACATCAAAAGACACGTGCCCAGAAGGGTAAACAGCTGCGACCAGAACGCAGCTGTAAAGCGAGATTTCCAATCGGAGACAACCGTTGAAGGCAAACCATGATATCTAAAGACGATGTCGATGAACAACGTCGCTATTTCCTCTGCGGTAATGGACACAACTACAGGAGAAAGATACACTATCCCTCTAAAGAGGTCTACGACCGCAAAAATTTATGTGAGCCTTGCGCATCGGCGGGAAGACCAAAGATCAATTCCATGCTAACCTAAGTCCCATGCCTCAGTCGCCACTAGTAGAGAAAACAATTGGGCTGGGGAACGTGGACTCGGTTTGACACGCTAACACACCTCGCATGAGAGAACCCATTTGCGGACTCACTCATACATGTGGGGCCAGTAGAACGTGCGAGACGGGGAAAAGTACGGCTCCTTGCGAGCCAAGAGTTCACTAGTTGCACTGTCATGGTACTAGTGAAGAACACGAGCACGTCGATCGTCGTCAAGAAATTCTACGATGCGAGGCGGATCAAACTAATCGATCCGGTACACGTGCAAGTCGCCCTTGAGTGAGTAACGCGAAATATGAGATCGTGCCGACGCTTTGATGTCACGCAGCGTAACAGCAGATGGTACACGACAGTATCGAACGATCGGCGTGTAGAAGACATCCTGGGTGTAAGCTACCGCGATGTCGAGTCAAAGAGAGTTGAACGCAATAACCCGCGTCGCTTTCACACCGAGTGCGACACAAGCAACGCATTCGTCCTTATCTTCATCGGTATAAGCATGAGCCGCGACAGTAGAAAGTGGATCACAGTAAGGCTGACGCGACAAAGCGTCGGCGAGAAAGTTACTCGAACCAGGCTTTGCTGTGAACAAAGAAGTTGTATTTAGCGAAAAACTACAACCAGCGCGCCATGCGCTGGCTGAGACAGAGGCTCTTTGTCGCCGTGCCCACAGAGATATGGTCGGCATATAGTGCGAACGTCTGCTAGCCAAGCCGGTCTGCGTGAAACTTGACGAGTGCACATCTCATAGCCTCATACCCTTTATCATGCATAGGATTATTCCGTTTTGCCAGCTTCAATGGGTGCGACTGATAGCTGATCACTCGCCTTCGCAGCCATGCTGCATGAGAGGACATCCAAAAGATAAATCACTCGCTCGCTTCCACAAAAAAATGCTATCGAGTGATCAGGTAGCGCCAACACTGGCATCATAGAAAAGTTCCTTGTAATCTTATCAAAGGAGATTGGTGATCCGGACGGCACGACCACGTGGCGTCCATCTTTAATTGTTGAGACAATGAGTGAATAAAAGCAGCAAAGTCCCCGGCTAACTGATGCATGTCGCTGGCTAGACCCATCCATTATCGAGAATGTTTATGCCCTTGTGAAAAAGAATGTAAACATCTACTGAAGATTTCATTTGAATTAGCGCGAACACCTTTCGCGCTGACGTAGCTATTAACTACCGGTATTTCCTGCACTCAGAGAATGCCTTAATTCAGATTGGCGTAGAGCTCGTTCTTACGCATCGCTTCAAATACTAGACGTAGGCTTATGAGAAGGACCGCGTGGTCAGTCGCGCCGGCAGCGGCTCGAATATGCACAGATATCATCGAAGTATCTTCGGGAAGGGTCGTGAAACGGGCGCAACGCTTGCAACACCATCCTATTGAAGTATCAGGGGCGTTCAAGAGCCCCTGTGGCATCACGAGCCATTCCTACAGCATGCCGCTAGGCGTAAATGCACTATCTGGCTGCATTTCGGCCCGAGTTGTTGAGATGAGCGCGGCACGTTGATGCACATGGGGAAGACATTAAAGTCGACAGCTGTGAGATTCGATCTCACGCGGGTTGCCCCATTAACTTAGCAGGCTAACGCCTTAACCACTCGGCCAAGCTGTCGCCCTCGAACTCGACAAATGCGAACATTTCTACAAATCAAAACCAACCATTTTGAAGCAACACCTCAACATAGCCAGAACGCGGCAAAAGTGTACTGACCTACCGTCATGACAGCCTCAGATATTCCGTGCTACGATGGTCTGCACATATATATGTACACCGGCATATTGTTAGCGTTTGCCACTTCACTGCCCTACGCATGGAAGCTTTCAACACTCCAAGACTGAACACTCGCTATCGGCTCGCGCCATCGTTCAAATCCAGCATCGAGAAGCTTCTGAATAGATGGTATTCTTTCACAACGACATACCGGTAGGGTACGTATCTTCCCTTCGTACCTATTAATCGGGTTATAGCGAGAGTGAATTCAATTGGTTGCCATGCACAGCACATTTTAACCATGTCATCCAAAAACCGATGCTATATCCTGCATCACCAACATACAGCTGATTGTGTACATATTCGAGAGGCTCTGTATCTTAGCTTTCCTTTGTTCACTAGTAGGCTGCTGCTTAGAAATGTGGGAATCATTCAGCGACTAATGGCCTCGCGCAAAGGAGCATGCAAAAGCAAAGCGTGGAGATGCGTGCGGGCATAAGACGAGCCTCCAGGCGGGATTGAACCACCGACCTTTCGCTTACGAAGCGAGTGCTCTACCACTGAGCTATATGGGCGTGATGGAAGAATGGACTATGTAAACACTTCAAACTGCCGTGCGTAGGAACATGGATACCTGTCGAATCCATACACAATTGATCGTCTCCTACACGATGTGAGGTTCTCAAAGCGCCATCAGATACTGGCCGATGTGTTACTCCATGGAGCTCGCTTCGACACCGCTATGGGCTGTTTGCCACCAGCGAAATTGTCGCACAAAGCAGGTTATGGCTAATTGACGTTGCTCGTTCCTCTGTTTTTAGTGCGGTATGTTGGTGGAGCGTCGCTATGCGCGATTATTGTTGTATTCGAGGAATCCGTTGTGAAGGCATAGCAGTGGGGGAATAGCTCAGTGGTAGAGCGCTGGATTCCAGACCAGCGGTCGGGGGTTCGATCCCCTCTTCCCTCATGCGTTACTCTTTCACTGGTGCACTTGCACTTCGGGTCGAGCGCTGAAACAAGTAGACTACATAGTCATGTACCAGCTTCACGTGTCAGGGAACGAGTGGGCTTGTACAAGAATGCAACGAAAGTGCGATACTTCTCGATTTATGCGTGTCATCCTTGCGCAGGGGCCATGCTAATCTTCTTGATCGTATAGGAAGGGTATAGTAAATGAGAGTAGAACATAAAGTGTATTATAGTAGGGGTATTAAAAGTTGAGGAGTGGAGATGAGCGCGGCACGTTGATGCACATGGGGAAGACATTAAAGTCGACAGCTGTGAGATTCGAACTCACGCGGGTTGCCCCATTAACTTAGCAGGCTAACGCCTCAACCACTCGGCCAAGCTGCCGCCCTCGAACTCGACAAATGCGAACATTTCTACACATCAAAACCAACCCTTTTGAAGCAACATCTCAACATAGCCAGAACGCGGCAAAAGTGTACTGACCTACCGTCATGATAGCCTCAGATATTCCGTGCTACCATGGTCTGCACATATATATGTACACCGGCATATTGTTAGCGTTTGCCACTTCACTGCCCTACGCATGGAAGCTTTCAACACTCCGAGACTGAACACTCGCTATCGGCTCGCGCCATCGTTCAAATCCAGCATCGAGAAGCTTCTGAATAGATGGTATTCTTTCACAACGACATACCGGTAGGGTGCATATCTTCCCTCCGTACCTATTAATCGGGTTATAGCGAGAGTGAACTCAATTGGTCGCCATGCACAGTACATTTTAACCATGTCATCCAAAAACCGATGCTATATCCTGCATCACCAACATACAGCTGATTGTGTACATCCTCGAGAGGCTCTGTATCTTAGCTTTCCTTTGTTCACTAGTAGGCTGCTGCTTAGAAATGTGGTAATCATTCAGCGACTAATGGCCTCGCTCAAAGGAGCATGCAAAAGCAAAGCGTGGAGATGCGTGCGGGCATAAGACTAGCCCCCAGGCGGGATTACACCACCGACCTTTCGCTTACGGAGGGGGGGCTCTTCTGAGCTATAGGGGGGGTGGTGGAAGAAAGGGGTATTAAAACAACTCCAACCGGCGTGGGGGAGGAGAAGGCACCCAGACCAATCCATCCACAATCGATCGTCTCCTCCTCGTTGGAGGGGGGCTCACCCACCCCCCCCATGTGCCCGGGGGTGTCCCCCTTGGGCCCGCCTCCCCCCCCCTGGGGGGGTGGGGCCCCCCCGCGACATGTCGCCCCACAAGGGTTAGTTGTGTTTGGTGGGGCTGGGCCCCCTTTTTTTTTTGTTTTGTTTTTTGTGGGGGGGGGGGCTGTTTTTTTTTTTTTTTTTTGTTTTGTTGGGGAGTCGGGGGAGGGGGGGGGGGGGGGGGGGGGGGGGGGGGGGGGGCCCCGCTCCCCCCCCGGCGGGTGGGGGGGGCCCCCCCCCCCCCCCCCCCCCTCTCTCCTCTGCTGCCGCGCGGCGCGGGCGGGGGCGAGCGGGGAAGAAGAAGAATAAAAAAGGCCACGCCCCCGGGCCGGGGGAGGGGGGGGTGGGGGTTTGAAGAATGCAACGAAAGTGCGATACTTCTCGATTTATGCGTGTCATCCTTGCGCAGGGGCCATGCTAAGAGCGCGGCACGTTGATGCACATGGGGAAGACATTAAAGTCGACAGCTGTGAGATTCGAACTCACGCGGGTTGCCCCATTAACTTAGCAGGCTAACGCCTTAACCACTCGGCCAAGCTGCCGCCCTCGAACTCGACAAATGCGAACATTTCTACACATCAAAACCAACCCTTTTGAAGCAACATCTCAACATAGCCAGAACGCGGCAAAAGTGTACTGACCTACCGTCATGATAGCCTCAGATATTCCGTGCTACCATGGTCTGCACATATATATGTACACCGGCATATTGTTAGCGTTTGCCACTTCACTGCCCTACGCATGGAAGCTTTCAACACTCCGAGACTGAACACTCGCTATCGGCTCGCGCCATCGTTCAAATCCAGCATCGAGAAGCTTCTGAATAGATGGTATTCTTTCACAACGACATACCGGTAGGGTGCATATCTTCCCTCCGTACCTATTAATCGGGTTATAGCGAGAGTGAATTCAATTGGTCGCCATGCACAGCACATTTTAACCATGTCATCCAAAAACCGATGCTATATCCTGCATCACCAACATACAGCTGATTGTGTACATCCTCGAGAGGCTCTGTATCTTAGCTTTACTTTGTTCACTAGTAGGCTGCTGCTTAGAAATGTGGTAATCATTCAGCGACTAATGGCCTCGCTCAAAGGAGCATGCAAAAGCAAAGCGTGGAGATGCGTGCGGGCATAAGACGAGCCCCCAGGCGGGATTGAACCACCGACCTTTCGCTTACGAAGCGAGTGCTCTACCACTGAGCTATAGGGGCGTGATGGAAGAATGGACTATGTAAACACTTCAAACTGCCGTGCGTAGGAACACGGATACCTGTCGAATCCATACACAATTGATCGTCTCCTACACGATGTGAGGTTCTCAAAGCGCCATCAGATACTGGCCGATGTGTTACTCCATGGAGCTCGCTTCGACACCGCTATGGGCTGTTTGCCACCAGCGAAATTGTCGCACAAAGCAGGTTATGGCTAATTGACGTTGCTCGTTCCTCTGTTTTTAGTGCGGTATGTTGGTGGAGCGTCGCTATGCGCGATTATTGTTGTATTCGAGGAATCCGTTGTGAAGGCATAGCAGTGGGGGAATAGCTCAGTGGTAGAGCGCTGGATTCCAGACCAGCGGTCGGGGGTTCGATCCCCTCTTCCCTCATGCGTTACTCTTTCACTGGTGCACTTGCACTTCGGGTCGAGCGCTGAAACAAGTAGACTACATAGTCATGTACCAGCTTCACGTGTCAGGGAACGAGTGGGCTTGTACAAGAATGCAACGAAAGTGCGATACTTCTCGATTTATGCGTGTCATCCTTGCGCAGGGGCCATGCTAAGAGCGCGGCACGTTGATGCACATGGGGAAGACATTAAAGTCGACAGCTGTGAGATTCGAACTCACGCGGGTTGCCCCATTAACTTAGCAGGCTAACGCCTTAACCACTCGGCCAAGCTGCCGCCCTCGAACTCGACAAATGCGAACATTTCTACACATCAAAACCAACCCTTTTGAAGCAACATCTCAACATAGCCAGAACGCGGCAAAAGTGTACTGACCTACCGTCATGATAGCCTCAGATATTCCGTGCTACCATGGTCTGCACATATATATGTACACCGGCATATTGTTAGCGTTTGCCACTTCACTGCCCTACGCATGGAAGCTTTCAACACTCCGAGACTGAACACTCGCTATCGGCTCGCGCCATCGTTCAAATCCAGCATCGAGAAGCTTCTGAATAGATGGTATTCTTTCACAACGACATACCGGTAGGGTACGTATCTTCCCTCCGTACCTATTAATCGGGTTATAGCGAGAGTGAATTCAATTGGTCGCCATGCACAGTACATTTTAACCATGTCATCCAAAAACCGATGCTATATCCTGCATCACCAACATACAGCTGATTGTGTACATCCTCGAGAGGCTCTGTATCTTAGCTTTACTTTGTTCACTAGTAGGCTGCTGCTTAGAAATGTGGTAATCATTCAGCGACTAATGGCCTCGCTCAAAGGAGCATGCAAAAGCAAAGCGTGGAGATGCGTGCGGGCATAAGACGAGCCCCCAGGCGGGATTGAACCACCGACCTTTCGCTTACGAAGCGAGTGCTCTACTGAGCTATAGGGGCGTGATGGAAGAATGGACTATGTAAACACTTCAAACTGCCGTGCGTAGGAACACGGATACCTGTCGAATCCATACACAATTGATCGTCTCCTACACGATGTGAGGTTCTCAAAGCGCCATCAGATACTGGCCGATGTGTTACTCCATGGAGCTCGCTTCGACACCGCTATGGGCTGTTTGCCACGAGCGAAATTGTCGCACAAAGCAGGTTATGGCTAATTGACGTTGCTCGTTCCTCTGTTTTTAGTGCGGTATGTTGGTGGAGCGTCGCTATGCGCGATTATTGTTGTATTCGAGGAATCCGTTGTGAAGACATAGCAGTGGGGGAATAGCTCAGTGGTAGAGCGCTGGATTCCAGACCAGCGGTCGGGGGTTCGATCCCCTCTTCCCTCATGCGTTACTCTTTCACTGGTGCACTTGCACTTCGGGTCGAGCGCTGAAACAAGTAGACTACATAGTCATGTACCAGCTTCACGTGTCAGGGAACGAGTGGGCTTGTACAAGAATGCAACGAAAGTGCGATACTTCTCGATTTATGCGTGTCATCCTTGCGCAGGGGCCATGCTAAGAGCGCGGCACGTTGATGCACATGGGGAAGACATTAAAGTCGACAGCTGTGAGATTCGAACTCACGCGGGTTGCCCCATTAACTTAGCAGGCTAACGCCTTAACCACTCGGCCAAGCTGTCGCCCTCGAACTCGACAAATGCGAACATTTCTACACATCAAAACCAACCCTTTTGAAGCAACATCTCAACATAGCCAGAACGCGGCAAAAGTGTACTGACCTACCGTCATGATAGCCTCAGATATTCCGTGCTACCATGGTCTGCACATATATATGTACACCGGCATATTGTTAGCGTTTGCCACTTCACTGCCCTACGCATGGAAGCTTTCAACACTCCGAGACTGAACACTCGCTATCGGCTCGCGCCATCGTTCAAATCCAGCATCGAGAAGCTTCTGAATAGATGGTATTCTTTCACAACGACATACCGGTAGGGTGCATATCTTCCCTCCGTACCTATTAATCGGGTTATAGCGAGAGTGAATTCAATTGGTCGCCATGCACAGCACATTTTAACCATGTCATCCAAAAACCGATGCTATATCCTGCATCACCAACATACAGCTGATTGTGTACATCCTCGAGAGGCTCTGTATCTTAGCTTTCCTTTGTTCACTAGTAGGCTGCTGCTTAGAAATGTGGTAATCATTCAGCGACTAATGGCCTCGCTCAAAGGAGCATGCAAAAGCAAAGCGTGGAGATGCGTGCGGGCATAAGACGAGCCCCCAGGCGGGATTGAACCACCGACCTTTCGCTTACGAAGCGAGTGCTCTACCACTGAGCTATAGGGGCATTATGGAGGAATGGACTATGTAAACACTTCAAACTGCCGTGCGTAGGAACACGGATACCTGTCGAATCCATACACAATTGATCGTCTCCTACACGATGTGAGGTTCTCAAAGCGCCATCAGATACTGGCCGATGTGTTACTCCATGGAGCTCGCTTCGACACCGCTATGGGCTGTTTGCCACCAGCGAAATTGTCGCACAAAGCAGGTTATGGCTAATTGACGTTGCTCGTTCCTCTGTTTTTAGTGCGGTATGTTGGTGGAGCGTCGCTATGCGCGATTATTGTTGTATTCGAGGAATCCGTTGTGAAGGCATAGCAGTGGGGGAATAGCTCAGTGGTAGAGCGCTGGATTCCAGACCAGCGGTCGGGGGTTCGATCCCCTCTTCCCTCATGCGTTACTCTTTCACTGGTGCACTTGCACTTCGGGTCGAGCGCTGAAACAAGTAGACTACATAGTCATGTACCAGCTTCACGTGTCAGGGAACGAGTGGGCTTGTACAAGAATGCAACGAAAGTGCGATACTTCTCGATTTATGCGTGTCATCCTTGCGCAGGGGCCATGCTAATCTTCTCTGTATCGTTCCAATTTTTACGGATGACCACCGAAGTGGTTCCTATCTACTGGCCGCACCGCGCGCTATTTAACATCGACTTGGACCACATGTCCAGAACCACTTCGGCCACAAGTGAAGCCTATACGTGTATCTAGTAGCGGCGTATCTACAAATGCACTGTCTGGCTTCATTTCTGCCCGAGTTGTTGAGATGAGCGCGGCACGTTGATGCACATGGGGAAGACATTAAAGTCGACAGCTGTGAGATTCGAACTCACGCGGGTTGCCCCATTAACTTAGCAGGCTAACGCCTTAACCACTCGGCCAAGCTGTCGCCCTCGAACTCGACAAATGCGAACATTTCTACAAATCAAAACCAACCCTTTTGAAGCAACACCTCAACATAGCCAGAACGCGGCAAAAGTGTACTGACCTACCGTCATGACAGCCTCAGATATTCCGTGCTACCATGGTCTGCACAAATATATGTACACCGGCATATTGTTAGCGTTTGCCACTTCACTGCCCTACGCATGGAAGCTTTCAACACTCCGAGACTGAACACTCGCTATCGGCTCGCGCCATCGTTCAAATCCAGCATCGAGAAGCTTCTGAATAGATGGTATTCTTTCACAACGACATACCGGTAGGGTGCATATCTTCCCTCCGTACCTATTAATCGGGTTATAGCGAGAGTGAATTCAATTGGTCGCCATGCACAGCACATTTTAACCATGTCATCCAAAAACCGATGCTATATCCTGCATCACCAACATACAGCTGATTGTGTACATCCTCGAGAGGCTCTGTATCTTAGCTTTCCTTTGTTCACTAGTAGGCTGCTGCTTAGAAATGTGGGAATCATTCAGCGACTAATGGCCTCGCGCAAAGGAGCATGCAAAAGCAAAGCGTGGAGATGCGTGCGGGCATAAGACGAGCCCCCAGGCGGGATTGAACCACCGACCTTTCGCTTACGAAGCGAGTGCTCTACCACTGAGCTATAGGGGCGTGATGGAAGAATGGAC